TGAGAACTCATAAAGCACTAATTAAGGTGAGGCTAAAGTATAGTAGAGGTGGTGCATACAAATTAAATTATTTGGCTGGCTAAAAATGAAAAGGTAACAACAACAACAACAAAAAAAAACAACCTGAGAAGGGGTTGGCTTTGTAATGTTTTGCTATACAACTGAAATGTGCACATTAAAGTCAATTTAGAACAAAGAGAAAGGACAAAGAAGTCTCAAAACCCTTCAGCTGTAACAGTTGCTAAACAGTATTTTGTTTCCTTCCCTTCTGATTTTTTCCTCTGCTGCTTTTTAAAAGTATTTTTGTCATCCACTGCATATGCAGTGTTAATCTTGGAATGCCTCAAACTCTGATGAAGTGGATTTAGACCGAACAGGACACTAGCATTTGGAGTCTGGCTTGCACTTGAAGCCTGCTTCTTCTGTTTATTAGGAAAATGATTTCAAGTGTGGAACTGAGGCTCTGTTTTTTATTTGTAAGGTAGGGATTGTACTTGAATCTTTTTCGCAGAGTTGTCATGAGAAGTAAAATCCAAATGCTACAGGCAAAGCAGCTATTAGAGCAGCACGCAGTGGTATCTCCCAGTAGGTGGCGCTGTTATGGCTGACAGGTGTAACCGGCCAGCCTGTCCCATGGCACCGTCTGACACTCGGGCCATTTGGAGTGGACAAGCTAGCACAAGGCCAGTGCTCTCTGTTGCTTAAATAGCACGAGAGCTGAAGAGCCACAGTGTCACACAGCCAGCCCAGCGTTCATTTCTTGGGCAGATTTCGTGATGTCCCCGTTATTCCAAGCCACATCTCCCGAAGGGCTGCTATGCGCGAGTCTCTGGTAAGCGTGGGAGCCGTGGCGTGCCACCGTTATCCCAGCATGGACAGCGCTCACCGGCCCTGGTTTCCTGGCCACAGAGTCGCTGTGCACAGGTGATAAGCAGACTGTTTCCCCTTTCATAAGAATTCTGTTCCTGCCTCACTCTCAGAGAAAGTTTGGGTCTCTGAGATATTTAATCAAAATAAAACAAAAGCAAAGCAAACTTGCTTTCCCTTATCCTTGAAACAAATCTGTCAGACTTCTCTCTGTTCTTAGGCTGCCTCTGGGGACTGTTGAAGAACATGACATGAGGGCTCATTACATCTCATTACAGTGAGAAGGTTGACAGTGGCCTTCTCACTGACAAACCCTTTCCCCTTAGCCAGGACCGTGCCTCTGTGCTCTCAGACAGTGTTGACTAGTGGAACTTTCTGTGATGATGGCTATATTCTAATAATAATAATAATAATAATAATTACTATTAATTTTGGAGACAGTTTTGCCACATGGTCCCTGCTGGCCTCAGACTCGCTATCCTTGTACTAACCTTTGGAGTGCTAGGATTACAGGTGTGTATCACTCTGCCTGGCTGGCTATGTAGTATTCCATGTTGCTTGATACTGGACACACTAGCTACAAGTGAGACTATTAATATAAATTATTAAATTTTAATAAAATTAACATAAAATTTTATTAAATTAATATGAATTATTATAGTTATTAATATAAAATAATTTTAAAAATTCAGTTCCTTGGTCACAATTTCAAGCGCTCAGTAGCCACTTGTGGCTAGTGACTACTACATTAGATGGTGTCGCTCTAGAGCCGAGGATTGTTTTTATCCACCCTTGCTGGAAACCCTATGCTCCTAACTTTGATGACACAACATTCTTCTGGTTGTCTGTTAGCTCCTCTCTGTCTCCTCTTACTCCTCCTGCCCACTAAAAATAGTGTCTGTGCTCAGCCCTTCTCCTTCTCTTCCTGCACACTCTTTTCCTATCTGGGGCAGACAGACCTGGGGTTCTAACAGTGAGCTGTGTGGAAATGGCACCCAATATCCCCTCTAGCCCTCACTTCTCTTGGTGGCTTCAGAACGTCTGTTTCCAGCTCCAGCCTGATAGTGCCACTTGGGTATTCTGCAGCCATCTCAAATTTATCATCATGCTAACTAAAACCATCATTTTCAGGTCTACCTAATCCCTCTACCTCTGCTTGATTCTGTTGTTTCTTCCTGTTCTCCTTGGTGTCACCTGTGATACACCTCGCTCTCTAGACCCTCCTTCCTTAACTGTTGTAGTCTTGGGATTCCTCATGCACGGTCCTCTGCTTTGCTTCTTAAGGGTGCTAACTCTTATGATTATGAAAGCAGAAAATATTGTTAAAATTTGCTGTAGCCATGAAAATGAAACAAAAAAAAAAAGAAAAAAAAAAGAAAATTGAAATCTCACCACCCAAAGAACCATTTTTGATCCTTCTGGATTGTGGCTTCCCACATCTGACCTCTCATAGCCTCTTGCCTGGATTACTCGGGCTGTGATTGCTCAGTGTCTCCCCACTCTAATCCACTGCTATTTCCCAAGGCAGTATTCTTACCATGTCACTCTTCTGTTCTGCTCGTAAATCTCCAGACGCACCCAGTTGTCTACTGAATTAAATTTGTACCCACTGATGGGATGGCATGTTACATCAACCTTTTCTTTCCTAGTGTCAAACATTCACCACACGGGAGATGTCACCAACATATCAGTAAGAATTGCTTACAAGGGCAGGAAGTCATGGTTGTGAACAGACAGCTTATTTAGCTTGGCTTAAATTTATTAAGCACTATTGTTTCCATTCTTTCTTCTGGAAAACAAAACTCAAAAATTATTACCTGTTGGACTGTGGTAAACAGATTTATTGGACTAGAGTTCACTTCTCTCCAAAAACCAGATGTTTTCCCCATTTCAATAACTGTTGCTATTTGCAGTTTCTAATTATGCAGTGTAAAACCCTACAGAGTTAAGTATTTGCCTGCATAAGCCCCTGGAGAGAGCTCTTTCCAAGTGCCGAGAAACTTACTCTTTTTGCCTAAGAAGCATCACTTCTGATGAATATTTTTTTTTTTCAATGCTGGTGATCAAATCCAGGTCCTCAGGCATGCTGAACTGAGGTGTCAAGGAGTCTTGATACCTTGAGTCAATCAAAAGACATGTATTTGTTACGTCTATCGGAATTGAGTTCCTCCATGGGATGAAACTGTTCTGGACATTCTTAGAACTTGTGGGTCTTTCTGAGCAATGGATTCAGCCTCTTAACAAATGCCATGCTATCTGTGTGTTGGGACGGAGCACCTGGTAAGCTTGCCCTGCCCGACAGTGGTGAGCGTATTTCACTGGCTCCCTGAGCACAGGCACAGCTTTCATCAGGCTGTGGATTTCTCAGGGTTTGGGAGGATTCACAGGAGAGGAGAAAGTCTTTGTCAAGTTTTGTTTGGTGGCTTGAAATATAATCTTGTGCTCATTGGCCACGGATCTAGTTCTTAATGAATTCTGTCCTCAGTTCTGCCTTATTTATCTGTGGCTCTCTGGCACACAATAAGCAATTAATAAATGTTTACTATTATTAGGATTATGATGATACAGATGCCTCCACAAACACATTCTTTGACTCTGCCTTTTCTCATGCTCCAGACTGAGGCATCCAGCTGCCCCTGGATGTCGTACACATTTACACCTTTGCCTGTGCTGTGGGCTCTGCCAAGCATGCATTTCCACCTTCCTCCCTTCCTATTAAAGTTCTATTTACACATTTAAGACCAGACTATAGCCTTGTCTTCACATGGGGCTCATTGCTTCTTCCTCTATATTCTGCATTTTTCTCTGTCGCCTATCCCCATATTATCTTCTTAGTTCCACCCTATAGTAACTTCAGTTATTTTAAGTTTGACTCTGAATCTCTGGAATTTGATGGTAACTATTCAAGGCATTTATGATGCCTGTCATAGGTATCACGGAACCTTCCTGGTAACATGTTCACAGTTCAAAAATCTCTGGCTGATTCAGCCATGATAAAGGCTTCAGAGCCATTGGTCTTTATTAAACTTCTGGATGAGTAGAGTGAGTGTTACAGATTGAGCTGCATGAAACAGAGACATCCTTATGGCTTAGCTGTTGGGCTCCAGGCATTGACTGTGGCCTGGAAGTTCAAGGTACACAAATGACTTGTGTTGGACCCTAGCAGGTTGCACTCCTTGTCATGTTTTTGGAGAGCTCTAAGACTCATAATGAAAATTCATAGCTTATTGTCAAAAACTAGAGTTCCACCTTGATTTTTGGAGTTCTGCAGGCCACATTTTCTTAAAATGAAATAAAAGGAAGAATGATAAGTCTGTCCATGTAGTTTGTCTTTGCTTTTGTGAAAGGAGGAAGCTGTGAGCCAGCAGGCTGCCCAGTGTCTGTGCTTTGGTTTCCTCAGAAAGGATAATCATAGCCTCATTACAGGATGTCATGAAGATTCAGTGTGTTTCTACATGTAAAGTGTTTGACATATGGCACTTTTTTATCATTATATATGTATATATATATATGTTCAGTACCTTTATTTATTATCTTCAATTACTGACAAACGTTGTCCAGTAAATATTTCTGATGATGTTGCCAGTACTAGAGAGATACAAACTACTTTTCACCCTGGAGAGAAGCAAGACATATCAAACTTTTGTCTTTTAACAGTGCCAACCTTAAAATGTACGTGTGTATGTATTGTTGGGCATAGCTGTAACCTTTCCTTCCATTTCCACATAACATCAGGTTTATAATAGCACACTAACAACTTGATTCACCTCTATAGTTGTTTGTAGGTATTAAAAAATAAGTGTGATTGGAGAGGAACAAAAATTTACTTCTTACTCTTGCAGAGCTGCATGTCTGGGGGGCAGAAAATTGCAGTTGCATGGTTATTATAAGGCAATTACATCAACAGAGCTTTTCTTTCTTTCTCACATTTCAAAGGAACATGTGTCCAAAGAGCCTTCTTCTCCTTTAACGATCTTGACATTGTCACATTACACCCAAGTACGAAACTATGACAATACCTCTTGCCCTTGCTGCCAAAAGTACCATGTAGGGCTACTTTGCAGTTGAAAAGAGAGAATGGCTTCTTTATGGTGACCGGCTTGGAATTATAAATATTTTTACTTCTCCCGTAGGAGATGGCTCGTGGAAGAGAGGAGACAAACACGACTTTGAAGCTAAGCAAGCGTACTCATCCCTCCAAACAGTCACTCTACTGAGGACCGTGAAACCTGAGTTTGAGAAGTTTTCCATGGAGGTGAAAAGTTCTGTTGAGAAACAAGGGCTCAATGAGGAGGATTACGTAAGTGCTTGATAATGAGCCCAGCGCTTCAGCGTCCTGAAAACAGTCTTCTAATTAAATCAGAGGTGACAAAGTGTCCCATTCTGAACCATTCAAAAATTCCAAGTTCAGGTCTGAATGTCACTGTTGCCTTCTGTGTGTTTTTTTCCTGGCCGCTTTTCCTTATTCCCTCCCCCACCATCCCTCCATCATCCCTGCCCCTCACTTACCCTTTTTCATCGGCTGCAGGAAGGAAAATTGCCTTTTTGTGGGGACCTGTAATGCTGAGCAGAATGTCTGTAGACATCTATCACCTATTCAGCAAGGAAGGTGTTGGGGAAGAAGGTGGTTGAAAAAGTGCCCACATTTTGCATGCCTAATTTCTCCAAAGCTTGGTGGCAGAAGATATTTTGGATTTTTGAAGGTTCTTTCTTTGGTCTTCTGTCTCTGCTTCATGGCCAGTCTGCCTCTCTCTCTTGCAGGCACTCTTGTTGCCCTTTTACTGCAAGCTACTTCTTGTTCAGGTGTTAATGGAGTTTCCTGCTGCAGTAGTGCTGTTGTTCCTAGTACAGTTCTAAGAGTGGACTGGAGTCAGAAGCTTAGTCTAGGCTAAGGATTAGCTGGGACCTCATCTCTGAGATGGCACTCAAGGAACCAATTGCACTTCGGGTACCATTGTTTGGCCAGCTCTGGCACACGTTGCTGTGTGTCTCTGATGTCCAAGTAGTCACGTAAGGAAACCCTGTCTCAAAGCAGTATAAGCAGGCAAGCAGTATGAGCAGTGGGACCCTGGGGCTGGGTGGCATAGGTGTTCTGTTTTCCAAAACGTCTCTCTTTACACTGTCCAAAACAGAAAAGGAGCCTCCTTAATGATAGGTCTTGGGTGTATCTGCCAAGTGTATGGCTTGGGTAGTACCTGCCCAAGTTGGATAATGGCAAACTTCACAAGAGATGGTCACTCCATTGCCTAGTGTCTTTACCACAGTGTGCTGGCATTGGCCTCACACACACCTGCCTTCGGAGACTGAATCTAACACTTTTTCTTTTTTGTTTTTTTTGATATTGGAGTTTGAACTCAGGGCCTTGTGGTTGTCAGGCAGGTGCTTTACCACTTAAGCCATGCCTGCAAGCTTTTCTTGCCTCATGTATTTTATTAATGGGGTCTAGCATTTATGCCCGGTCAGTCTGAATTGTGATCCTCTTATTTACACTTCCTGTGTAGCTTGGATGACAGGCATAAACCCAGCTTTTACTGGTAGAGATGGGTTCTTGCTAACTTTGCTCAGTAAGGTCTTGAACTGCAATCCTCTTGATCTTTGACCCTGAGTAGGTAGGATTAACCACCACGCCTGGCTTGGATCTAGCAGTTTTGAGCTGTGTAACCTAGGAAAATTTACTCAGTTTCCCTGATCTAAGTGACTTCTCTCTGGGAAGGATTATAGATAATTTAATCTATAAATCTACTAAAAAGCTTTTAGTACTATTCCTGTCAAAAAGTTGGAACTCAATATGTAGTACTTCTATTGTATTATGGTTATAAAATTTTATATGTCCTCATAAGAATTTGCTGTTAAATAACCTACAAAGGGGCTTATAAACATATTTTTCATCTTTAAATGTGACAGATATGGAATTACACACATCATTTAAATACCTTGTGAATTTTTAAGTCAATGCTGCCCAGTAAGTGCAAACCACAAGTGCATACCACATATGTAGTTAAAAATTTTTCAGTAGACATTTAAACACTGAAAGGAAAAAATTAATTTTAATTAAATATTTTAAAGTAAACTATTATTCCAGCATTTAATCAATGTAAAAATTAATAATGAGACTTGATACTCCTTTTGTTGTACAAATGTAGTTTGAAATCCAAAATGTATTTGACACTTTCAGCACACTAAGTTCTTGTTCAAATGCTTAGAAGCCACCTGTGATGAATTGTTATCATATTGGACAGAGTGTTCTGAATTATGAAAGAAGTACGATTTCTGTCCCAGATCCTGGGTTTAAGGACATCTGTGACAATGCTGTGACCTATGCCCTAGTCTCAGGAATGTGATGAGCACAGAGGGTACTGAGCTTCCAGCAGTAGTGCTGCCGAAAGTGGGCAGTGCCAATATGGAAACTCAAAATCTTCTACATATGCCTCTCTAAATCACTTTCACTTACTAAGTTCATATTAATTTTATGATTTGCAAGCTCACCAGTGGTGTTGTTTACCCTAGCTTCTTCTCTGAGGCTGTTGAAGCTTAGTTATCTTAGCAGACGTTGCCCAGCACAGTGACACTCAATGGGCAAAAGTTGGCATCCCAACACACTACAGGGTCAGTCTTCTCGCTCATTAGTTATCCTGTGCTCAAAATATTAAGTCTTATTTCAATGGTGGTGTAAGCAAAATCTTATTGGGAAGATATACCTACTACAAAGATCCACAATACATCCCAAACCAAATACTAGTGCTTAGAGATTATTAGCACCTGTAGATTATAACACTGCTTCTTTTGCTAGTGGGGCCATTAAAACTGGTTTTATAAATAAGTAAATAAATAAAACTTACAATTTTAAGCAGAAACTGGACATCACTGTAATAACTTATTGCAGAACTGTAACTGAAGTTGTAGCCTTTTGAGTTGCATTAGTTTGGATGGTGGTTGCTATGAGTGGTGAGTGGTGTGACAGGTAGTGATGGGAACCAAAGAGTCAGGAGCCTGGTGTGGCTCCCCAGTCAGGAGTCTAGGCCCACGTGGATGCTGGACCTTGGTGCAGTGGAAGATGCTTCTCAGGAGTTGTCCACATGCTTGATGTGAGGCTCAGCTCTTTCCCAAGTCTTCTTTCTTCTCTTATTTGCCTCATCTGCTCACTTAGAACTTTAGTTCACAGCACCCAGCGTGGATGCTACAGCCTCTGCCTCTGGCTCACACCCAGCGAGTCTGGTAGACTCTCTTACTGACTGTACAATGCACCGCACATTTTCTGAAAAGTCACATGACCTGTGAGTAGTGATTGTTTTGTTTCTTTTTAATGCTTCCACTTTTAGGTATTCTTAATTAAATGTATTCTTAGCTAAATTTAAGTAAATTAAGTATATTGAATTAAAATTTAAAAAAGTTAAGATGAAAACTTTTAATGGTGCTGGCTAGGATCCCGATATGAATAGGAATGCAAGCAGTGATAGTGGTCATCTTATCTTTAAATTCAAGAACATACAACCAATTTCATATTTTTTATATCACAACGTAAGCATGATGATTGCTGTGGGGTTTTTGAGACTGTGGAAATTTTCTTTTATTTTTTGTTGGTGAAGTGTTTTATTTTTGTGCAAAATAGCATTTTTGTTAGGATAACTCAAACAAAAATAGCACAGCAAGCATTAAGGATTGTGTAACGTAGGTAAGACTTTGAGTATACTTTTTGTTTTAGTATTACAAATTGTATACTATATCTGGCTTTGTTTCATGTATGTTAGTGTCATAGTCTTATTAGCATGTTCTCAATATACTTGGAAAAGTTACGAACTTCTTAAAATGCACAAAATTTGAAATTCAATTTTTTAAGGCTATCCTGAAGCATTGGAATGATGGCAGGACAATATTTTCTTTTTAGTAAAATTAATATTCTGTATTTTGCCTACTAAATTTTGGTGGGTTAATGCAATTTTGTTTCTGTAAAATTGAGCTCTTCTCTTTCTCTCCATCCCTTGCCCTGTCCTTTTAAAAAATTTGAATTTTTATTGAGATATTTGAAGATTTACATGCAGCTTTAAGACACAAAACACAGAGATCCTAGTGTATATAACCTGGTTCTCCCCCATGGTAGTATTTTGGAAAATAAGATCAGAGCTGGGATATTCAGATCCCATGTTTTATTCATAAGTGTGTGTGTACAAGCGCATATGAGTATTAAATTCTGTATAATTTTTTCATCTGTGTAGATTTGAGCGTTTGAATTTTACTAAATGTCTTTTCTATGTCTGTTGTGACAATCAGATTTATTCTGTTATAAATGTGGTGATTTGCACTACTAGATTTTTTCTAATTTGAACATCTGTGCACGCTTAGAATGACTCTGCTCTGTCTCTCTACTGCAAAACTTTTTCCCAGTTAATATTTTGGAGAATGTAATTATGGTAAAGCTGTACCTGTTTATGTAGGTGGAGCTTTTTGGCCTGGGTTATCCCAAAGGCTACTGGCAGCTTGTAAATTAGCTTCTCTCAACTAAGGTGGGGGTTGCTTTACTAAATGATCATGAGGGGTTGGATGGTGCTTGTGTGATGTGATAGACAATAGCATTGCTGAGGATTGGGCAATATTAGGGCTGTGAGTGCTGTATGTACTATAATTGGTTATTATACACGGATCTAATAAAAGTGTCTCTCCAATGCGTATTCCTTTGGGCAATATAATATTTAAAAATTACATTAGTGCTCTTACTTGTGAACCTGGTGGAAGCCTATTCTATGCCAATACATCATGCTTTCATGGGGCCCAGTGTCTACCATTGGAAGCAGTATGGTCAAGTGGTTGAATATTCAGATTTGAGTTGGGTATGGTGGCGCATGCCTGTAATCCCAGCACTTAGGAGGCTGAGGCAGGAGGACTGTGAGTTCAACACCAGCATGGGCTATATAGAGAGGCCTCGTCTCAAAATGCAAAGAAACAAAACAAAACATGCTTGGAGTTTCACAGACCAGGCTCTGCCTCTTCTTAAGTAGTTCTTAACTTGGATATGTTTTTGAAACTGCCTAACTTTACTGACTGTAAAATGGGAATAATAAATTTTAACTTATACAGTTATTAAAAGAACTTAATAATATCTAACACAGTGCCAAACTCTTAGTAAGTATTCAGTAGGTGGCAGCCATAATTTTTCTTATTTTTGCTCCTTTCATTCGAGGCCAGTGTATCTGATGCTATCTGCGTCATCTCTCTTGTATCCCCTTCCGGTGTGCCTGGCAATAAAAGTAGCTATTATTACAAAAATCTGAAATCCGAAATGCTTTAAGATCCAAAATTTTTTGA